TGTGAGGATAGGGATTGTGAGTGTGCCTGTGTGCTTTTCACCAGGACTGTGTGAGGATAGGGATTGTGAGTGTGCCTGTGTGCTTTTCACCAGCTCTGTGTGAGGATAGGGATTGTGAGTGTGCCTGTGTGCTTTTCACCAGCTCTGTGTGAGAAGGCATGGATTGTGAGTGTGCCTGTGTGCTTTTCACTAGCTCTGCGATGCACCTCAAAACATGCAGCTGGCACACGCCTTCTCACACAATGTTCAAGGTTGCCCTCACTGCCCCATTGTAGGAAGTGAGTGCTGCACTGGTGCCGTTTCCTTGCCAAGCAGCATGCTGCACGTCCTCCCGCATGTGTGCAGAGATGCTGCTCACATCAGCAACCTTTCTACAGTGAAGTCCTGCCTCACTGCTTACCAGTCTTATCACAGCTGAGCCTTTTCCTGAGTTAGCTGATGTAGCGTGATGACATTGCTCCTGCCAGCAATCGGTCCTCATTAAACGGGTCTCCTCAGAGCATGAACTTGCTGCAGTGTAGCGTATCGGCAGTGCACTGTCCTGGACCTGACAGTGCGGCCCGTCTTCCTTGCAGGTCCAGACGCTGAACGAGCAGGAGTGGGAGCGCGTGCAGCAGGCCAACGTGCTGGCCAATGTGGCACATGCCTTTGAGAGCGACATGGACGTGTCTGACGTAGAGGACGATCGTGAGACCATCTTCAGCTCTGTGGACCTGTTGTCTCCTGCTGGCCAGGCTGATGCCCAAACCCTGGCTCTCATGCTGCAGGAACAGCTGGACGCCATCAACAATGAAATCAGGCAGGGCTCCCATCACCAGCTTTGCCTTGTTTTCAACTTCATTTGCTTAACAAGTTAAAATTTTCCTGAACTCCGACATTTCAGAACATTGTAATGTTTGCTAAATGTAGAGCTGCAGGATATCACATGGTGATATAATCGTGATTTTTGTGCATATGCCATAATCACCGGGGCTTTAGGTAACGGCCATATAAATTTGTCAGGACACCGGTTTTTCTGTACCATATATGCATAAGTTTACTTATGCCCACAATTTCATAAGCAGATTACTAGTACAGTCGAACCTCGGTACAACGTACCCCGTTTATAACGTTTACACCAATACAACGTTCAAATTTCAATGTCCCGAATTCGCATAATGCATTATACCATTTGCCGGTATCGCTTAGAACGTACACCTTTACAGCGTAAACTTCGGTATAACGTATGATTTTCAGAGGAAAATAGGCAAACTGACCTTCGTTACAACGTACAGCCTCATCTTCCGAGTGCGCGCACAATTCAGAATCGGCTGTTGCCGGCCATCTACATCTCTTAGCAACGCCTAACTGTATGAACCTATCCTCACAAAGCATTCCACGCCGGCCGGACTCCTTGCATGCAGCCCCCGTTTTTTCATGGTTTTGCATGGTGTCATGGTATCGAAATTTATTTCAGCCAATTGAATCATACAGGTGCATAATTTCGGTTTGACATTAGGTTACAGTAAGGCGATTTGAACGATATGCCGGCAGTGGATTTTGCGTTATGTCGGCTGTCTATGAGTAACTGATATTAACATAGTTTGAAGAATATAGTTCCTATTTAGAATAGGAACTATATTCCTCAAACTACACAAGCTGTATGTCATAGTGTCAACTTGAGGGGTGTTTTATAAAAGTTTTTTATATACATTTTGTGTTCTATCATTCATTTTGAAGGACTTGGTTACAACGTACTATGGTTATAACGTACAAATTCTTAATGTTCCCCGAGGTACGTTGTAAAGAAGTTCGACTGCATGTCTAAAATATTAATGAGTTTTATATTGCAATGCCCAGAAGTAATCTGTATAAATGTGGCATTTCCTTATGTTTATGAAATTCAGTTAGCGGAACATGTGACATACTGCTGTTTTGGTAAATCATATGATGAGCAGTGAAGTGGCAGTGAAGAGAAACAGCTCAGCAGCCGCAATGTCTTTTGAAAGACAGATGACATTGCTTGTATGCTTTTCACTAGCTCTGTATGAGGACATGGATCGTGAGTGTGCCTGTGTGCTTTTCACCAGGCCTGTGTGAGGACAGGGATCATGCGTGTGCCTGTGTTCTTTTCACCAGCTCTGTCTCAGAAGGTATGGATTGTGAGTGTGCCTGTGTGCTTTTCACCAGGACT